GGAGCAACCCACAACTTCATTGCCGATCAAGAAGCTAGAAGATTGGGACTCACCATAGGAAAAGACCCGGGGAAAATGAAAGCTGTCAACTCCGAGGCCTTGCCTATTGTGGGAGTTTCCAAAGGAGTCCCTTTCAAAATAGGGGATTGGACTGGAGAGTTAGACCTTGTCGTGGTTCGCATGGACAACTTCGATGTGGTACTTGGGATGGAGTTCCTCCTAGAACACAAGGTCATCCCAATGCCATTAGCAAAATGCTTGGTGATCACCGACCGTAACCCCACAGTAATACCTGCAAGCATCAAGCAACCAGGTAATCTTCGAATGATCTCGGCCATACAGCTAAAAAGGGGACTCGCACGAGAGGAACCTACATTCATGGCCATACCACTGATAGAAGAAGCAACCACTGAAGAGACTGTCCCAGAGGAAATCAAGGAAGTACTAGACAGCTATACCGACATAATGCCAGAGAGTCTACCACAAACACTACCACCTTGTCGAGGCATTGACCACGAAATCGAACTCCTCCCCGGGGTTAAGCCGCCAGCGAAGAACGCATACCAGATGGCTCCGCCCGAGCTAGCCGAATCGAAGAAACAACTGGACGAGTTGCTAAAGGCGGGATTCATTCGCCCGGCAAAGACACCTTATAGAGCCCCCGTACTGTTCCAGAAGAAGAAGGATGGGACGTTGCGTCTGTGCATAGACTATAGAGTCTTAAACAAGGTGACGGTACGCAACAAATATCCTCTGCCGATAATATCCGACTTGTTCGACCAACTTCACGGGGCCAAGTACTTCACGAAGTTGGACTTACGGTCAGGATATTATCAAGTATGTATTGCCGAAAGGGATGAACCCAAGACGACGTGCGTAACAAGATATGGGGCCTTTGAATTCCTAGTAATGCCCTTTGGCTTGACAAACGCCCCAGCTACGTTCTGCACGTTGATGAACCAGGTTTTCTATGAATACCTGGATCAGTTCGTCATAGTATACCTCGACGACATTGTTGTTTACAGCACAACCCTCGAGGAACACAAAGTGCACTTGAAGCTAGTGTTTGACAAGCTCCGGCAGAACCAGCTGTATGTGAAGAAGGAGAAATGTGCATTCGCACAAACATGCATCAACTTCCTTGGACATGTCGTCAGATGTGGACAAATTAGTATGGATAGCGACAAGATAAAAGCTATCCAAGAATGGAAAGTTCCTACTTCCGTATCTGAATTGCGGTCCTTCTTAGGACTAGCCAACTACTATAGGCGATTCGTCGAAGGGTTTTCACGACGAGCCGCCCCATTGACAAAGCTGTTGAAGAAAGACCACCCTTGGTCGTGGTCGAATGATTGTCAAATGGCCTTTGAAAATCTGAAAACAACCATGACGAGGGGTCCTGTCCTTGGGTTGGTAGACGTCACAAAGCCATTTGAAGTGGAAACCGATGCTTCCGACTTTGCTCTAGGTGGGGTCCTTATTCAAGAAGGTCACCGCATCGCTTACGAAAGTCGAAAGCTCAACGATGCCGAACGAAGATACACTGTCTCCGAGAAAGAGATGCTGGCGGTAGTCCATTGCCTTCGAGTCTGGAGACAGTATCTCTTAGGATCACAGTTCGTAGTGAAGACGGATAACAGCGCCACTTGCCACTTCTTTGATCAACCAAAATTAACAGCAAAACAAGCCCGGTGGCAGGAGTCGTTGGTCGAATTCGACTTCAAGTTCGAACACAAAGCAGGAAAGAGTAATCAAGTCGCCGACGCGCTAAGTCGGAAGGGCGAACATGTGGCTCTGTGCATGTTAGCCCATATTCATTCAAGTAAGATCGATGGATCGATGCGCGACATCATCAAGGAACATTTACACAAAGACCCATCGGCCAAAGCTGTTGTCGAACTAGCTAAGGCTGGAAAGACACGATAGTTTTGGGTTGAGGGGGATCTCCTGATAACCAAAGGAAACAGATTGTACGTCCCAAGAACGGGGGAACTGAGGAAGAAGCTCATTCAGGAATGTCATGATACCTTATGGGCCGGACACCCTGGGTGGCAAAGAACATACGCCCTAATAAAGAAGGGGTACTTCTGGCCAAACATGCGAGACGACATCATGCAATACACCAAGACGTGCCTCATCTGCCAACAGGATAAGGTCGAGAAAGCCAAAGTCTCTGGACTCTTGGAACCTCTACCTGTGCCAACAAGACCTTGGGAAAGTGTATCCCTGGACTTCATAACGCACCTCCCAAAAGTAGGGGAATATGACGCCATCTTGGTTATTGTAGACCGATTCTCAAAATATGCGACATTCATTCCCACTCCCAAATTATGCTCGGCGGAACTCACAGCCCAACTGTTTTTCAAACACGTTGTAAAGCTATGGGGCATTCCGTCGAGCATCATCAGTGATAGGGATGGCAGATTCATTGGGACATTCTGGACTGAGTTATTCGCTTTCTTGGGAACAACCTTAAACATCTCCTCGAGTTATCACCCTCAAACCGATGAACAGACAGAACGGTTCAATTGCTTGCTCGAAGAATACTTATGTCACTTCATCGACGCTCGCCAAAAGAACTGGATACAATTATTAGACGTCGCCCAATTTTGCTTCAATTGTCAAACAAGCTCGTTTACAGGGAAGAGTCCCTTCGAAATTGTAAGTGGACGACAACCAGCCTTACCCCATATTATTGATCATCCTTATGCAGGAAAAAACCCTCAAGCTCACAACTTTACGAGAGAATGGAAGCAGACGACAGATATAGCCCGGGCATATTTAGAGAAGGCTTCCAAGCATATGAAGAAATGGGCGGACAAGAAGCGTCGCCCCCTTCAATTCCGTGCAGGAGATCAAGTCCTTATCAAGCTGAGACCAGAACAGATTAGATTTCGTAGCCAAAAGGACCAGAGACTAGTTCGTAAATATGAAGGCCCGGTTGAAGTCCTTAAAAAGATCGGGACTACCTCCTACCGAGTTGCACTACCCGCATGGATGAAAATTCACCCTGTCATTCATGTGAGCAACTTGAAGCCCTATCACCCTGATCCAGACGACGACCAAAGAAATGCAACCACAAGACCGAACATCGATCTGAAGCAAAAAGAAACAAAGGAAGTGGAAGAGATCCTAGCCGACAGGGTTAGGAAGATAGGAAGACCTGTACGGACGATTCGTGAATTCCTTGTCAAATGGAAGAATCTCCCTACAGAGGAAACAAGCTGGGAGCGCGCCGAAGATCTGAACTCCGCCGCCACCCACATCACAAGGTATGAAAGTAGTCGGTTGACAGGGACGTCAACCAATTAGGTGGGGGAGGATGTCACGGTCATGCTTGTCCAGGGCATGTTGCCCATGGCCGCATGCCCATGACAAGCCAAACCCTTGTCATGTCTTTTCATTCTACTGTTTTTCCTTTTGTAATTCTAGAGCGTATGACACCTCAAAAATATCATGTCTAGGCCTGCCAGAACTAAAATGGCCCAGAATGTACTATAGGGGGATATGACTAGTCGTCAACTTCTCCCTACCCAAGGTTATATATGCTAAGCCGTTGTTATCTTTCTCTTGCTTGCTTATATAACGTCTCTTTCTAAAATCTCTCTCTCTCCTCGTTTTCTAAAACCTTCTTTTAAAACCGAGGCTAGAGGCTCGACCATACGTCGCTTGGCCGTAGGCGACGCAAGAACAAATTAGCTTAACTCACTTGTCGCTGGAAAGTGAGTGCCGCACAATCGCTAGTCCGCTGCCTTCGAAAGTGCGATTGTGTCACGGGGCAACACACGGGTTGCATCGGTGGGCTGAGGCACATTGTCATTGAGTTTTGGGTCGAGGACTTATGGGCTGATCCAAGGTTGTGTGTGGGTTGGTTTCAGGTCCGACCCGACTTCGTTATTGACAAGCGGGGGTTTTCTTCTCTTGTTTGCCTGACTTTTGGTGCTTCCAAATCTGCGCCCTCTCCGATTTCCATACGACGACAAGGGCTTAACGCACGACCAGTCATGTGTATGGTTGACATTGTTGGTGCCCTTGGAATCCCCCTTACTCCTCCCTCTCTCGGCGGTGTTCTCCATCTGCTTCTCTCTACATTGTGAAGGAGGGTGTAGGTAGTTTCATTCTCAGATCTTCAACCAGATTCAAATTTTGAATGTTTTTTTTTTTGTTTATTAACCCACTGCTGTTATTGAATAGGATATAGTTGTTTTCAGTCCTCCAAGTCTTCTACAAAGTTGTTGTAAGCTTGATTATGAACAGTGTATTAATTGGTTTAAGCTAAAATGGTTGAGTGCAACTCTCTAATTTGGCCAAAATCGAAAGAAAAATACCCAAAATCTAATAGGTTTGTTCTTGTATTTGGGAGGATCTTGGCTTAGAATTCTTTCACAAAATGAAAGGATTGAGTTCTTGATTTAAAGCTTACGCGCATGGGCTACTCTCTCTCTAAGCATCAAGTTCTTGATTTATTTAAAGAGGCTTGGGTTATCTCATCACTTTGACAACTAGATTTACATAGCAGATCTTGTTTACTGTCATTAGAAGCAATCTAATTGGAAGGGAAAACAGGTTGATAGGTTCTTCTAATGAGGGGCACGTGCAAAAGATCATTGTTAGTGAAAATGGAGAGAGATTTTTTAACTTCAGACCTTGTTCGTCATCTATCATTCCATCACTGAATCCCGTAAAAAAAAATGTTGTGAAAGAAAATACCAACATTGCCACCATTGAGATTTGGTGAGAAATTTGAAGATGCTTATAACATAGTCTTGATATTGGATGATCGAGACCAGTTTGCTAACCACAGTTCTCGGTTGATTGAAAATATCTAGTAGTCAATTCAAGACCTAGATTGAGATTAGGAAACTACATGTTAGTGATGAAATCTAGATAGCTCGCCACAAACATCTTGATGTCCTACTTTTTCTTTCCCATTCTCATTCTTAACAAAAATCACTCTCACTTCTTGGACGGTTACTGTTTAGATTAGGGATTCCACCAAATTCAGAATTGATCACAGAGTGAGCTCAGATGCATTGGTACTTGTTTTTGTGGTCATGGCCCCAAGTTTTTGGGCACAAAGCTTCTTGAGAAATGAAGTTCAAAGATGGGCACCGGCATAATGGCCAACTCCCAGTATTACCATTATTGTTATACAAGGCTGCCTTGTGTTAGACAGAAGAGAGATACATGATATGAAACAGCTTAACACAAGGTTGTTCTTCAGCGCCTGTATCGGTATAGCAGCACATCTTGGGCAAACATTACAAGCACCACGACGCCTAGCAACGCTTTAGCAACATAAACCAGTGGGGGGAGAGTGGAGTTGTGGTGAATGCGTTTGGTAGTTAGGATATAGGAGAACCGATTTTTTGAAGAAAAGCAATGTTGAGGGGTTGCCCCCTTGGTTGCTTTGTTGCCCGCTTCACTTTTCAGCTCATTATTAGAATCTGTCCCTGATAGCTGCGGTGAATTGCCAATTTCCATATGTTTTACATCACTGAGCCGCAAAAGCCTTGGAGGGAGGGGGGCTCTTTCCAACCTTTTCATAGTGTGATTATACTGCAATACATGAATTATGCAGATAAAGTAATGAATGAGATACACAAGTATCTGGACCGGAATTTGCCAAGTAAACAAGTCAAGTTAATTCTTCTTACCGGCAAGCCAAAGGCCGTATTGGAGTTAGTCTGGCTACTAAATCCACCTTGAAATTGATAATACATGCCTTCCCATTCTTGATTGTTTGATGTCATCTCGTCCCAGTTTTTATCATCGTGGACGAAATTCCTCAAGGAATCAAGTTGACTCTCAGATTGTTGGGTATACATTAAACCTGGTTGTGGTTCGGAACGTCGTAGGGACCCGCACATATTTGGGGTTACTTCATAATTGAAGATATCATCCCAAATTACTGTCTTGTTAATAAACTCCGTCATATTTCCATATGCAGAATCTCCATCTCCAAGCTGTATTGGTTGCATATTTACTTCACCATTATCATCATAGGCATTCACAGGTTGTTGGGTACAACTCCCTAGGGGCTTACAGATCGATTGTTCGTCTCTGTTCATCTGTGTTAAAAAAATTATAAACAAACTAGAATTAAGGTCTCTTCAAAATGTTCATATCGGACACTCTTACCTCCCGGATTTCTCCTCCCCGTTTGACTTTCTTAGTCCGGTGAGAAGCAACGGTACTGTTCTGTCCATCTTCTTGATCACGTATTGAAACACGTCTCTCTTCTGCATTTTTCTTCAATCGAAAAATGATGAATGGCTGCACAACATAGGAAGCACAATGTTATAACAAAAAGGTCAATTGTGAAAAATATATGAAACGCACACATACTCATCATATTGGGAATAAAACAAAAAATTGATGTATGTGTGGGATATAGAGTAACTATAGATCAGCAAGTACATATGGAAGGCGAGATCAAAAACCCAGAAGCCAAAAGAAGTTAGTGATACATGAGAAATGGATATAAACAGAAATGAGACCTGGGAAGTGATGTCTGTAAGTGTGTGAAGCTTATACTCGTGTATCACCCAATTGGTCTTTATAGCATTGCCTCCCTTGCCTCGATGGAACACATAAATGTGACAAGTTGCGATCACTTCGTTGGTTTCTCGAGCCTTGATTCGGCGGGGATCACCGGTGGATCTCCAGCCGCCAGTAGCCGTGGTTCTTTTATTGTTGGCGGTGTTGGCCCGGAAGAAAAACCACTCAAAATTTGAAGAAGGGAAATACGATTTGTCTGCACAGGGACAGGGGAAAGGACAGAATCAGAGGTGTGCTCCATCTTCAAAAGCTAAAATCAGGGTGGGGGGATATTGATAAATGAATACCTGGGAGTTGCTCCGGATCGAACTTGTACAGATCAACCTCCTTGATAAATCTAACAGGAATCTCCTGCCCAAGAATCTTGTTCTTCAGGTAGTGGGTAATGAGCTCCTCCTCCGTGGGACGGAAACCACAACCAACCGGCAATGAAGAAAGAAACGGAAATTCATCGATAGCGGCCATGAATTTGGTAGGAAGGGCGTCGAAGAACGGAGGAGGAGGAGGAGGAGCAAGGAAGTGAGGGAGTGGTGGAATCCTTGGTGGTGGAGGATGTTTATAACGACGGAGCAGGAGCAGGGGATGACTTGCGTTGACTGGGCGGGAGTTGTTGGGCAAGTCAAGATAGTTGAAAGTAAAGGATAAATTTTTGTGAGGGAGTGGGGCTTGAAGTGGCCGACTGGAATCAAAATGCAGCCGTGTGTTCACATGTGATTGAAGCGCACGAGCGGCCTACAATCGTCTCTGCAAAAATACAAAACATATTATATTATTGCATTTCATACACATTGAGCCAAAACATACTTAGCCTGTTTGGTGGTAGGGATGTTCCTGTCCACTGATTTCTTCTTTTAACCAACCCAAAAATTTTCTCCAATGTTCAACCAGAAATACAAATACAAAGACGAGACGAGGTCGAGAGGAGAAATGGGAACTAAGAAGAGAGTCCAACAGAAAAATAAATAGGCGAGCAACATCCGTGTCCGACAATGCACAGAGACGAGACGAGAGTGAGATGAGAACTGAAAAGTCGAACGACGACTCATGAAAAGAGCCGAGAGGAATCAAATGACGAACGTTGTGATGTGAGTGGGTGAGACGTGAGTGCGAGAGGCGAGACTTTATATTACTTAGCCCAGTTTCAAGGAAAATAATCAATTATAAATTATACTAGGTGTATATTCTTGTCTATCAAAGCTAATATTCCAAAATGTTATTGGGTCATTGTCGAGAAATTAAGGATAAAGCAGTAATGAAAAAAGTACGGAATATCCATTCAATTTTGTGGTCATTACTACAATACCCATCAAACTAAGAAACGACATTCCATCATGAATAATATCTCAATCAATATAGTTGTCCTTGCAATTTCGCTGTTCACCTTTAAGCATGCATACATGAAATTAATTTCTACTTATAATATACCATATTTATCAAATATCTATTTGCAAACATATATGATGAATCCATAAAGTATTGTATTTCTGACAAGTTTGCTATTTGGTCGTATCTATTCTTCCTTCAAGATTCTCTCTAATAAAATGGTAATACACCTCCACCTACTTTATTCTAGTATGAGACTTCGAAGTTTCTGTTAGGCAAATTGCAGATTCGTTACTGCAATGGAGTGGTATTGTACCGTCCATTTTCTAGTGCAAATTCTCAATTAAGAGTTTTAAGTCATGTGCTTTATTGAGTTATTCTAGTCGCTGCTCTTTACTCCGCTTTTGTAGTTGATAATGATATTGTTGGTTGTTTTTTGCTACACCAAGAAACTGTTTCCAAACCGAGCTTGAACACACACCCAAACTTGATCTTCAGGTATTGTGATATCTTACATAGTCAACATCACAATATCCAGCTAACTTGCAGTTTTCGATTCTATTGTACAAAAGACCATAGTCTATTGTACCTTTGACATATTGCAGGATTTGTCATGCTATGCTGCATCCAAACAGGCTTCTTCAGAGTTTGCATATACCAACTAACAACTCTAAATCTATTTTTCAAATCCCTTTGGTTGGTTCATGCAGATCTCTCTGTCTTTTTCGGGCAGCAAAGCATTCTTCATATCCGTCTGCCATAATTTTCAATCTTTACTTATCGCAAGTGCTAGCAAAACTTGTACAATAATGGTCTTCGCCACTAAACTAAACTTTTCATCATAGTCTAGTCCATCCGAGGGGTGCTTTATTCTGTCAACCCACTTGCAAAAGGTGTGTTTGACATCTTCTAAATTCTTCCTCTGTTACCTTATGCCAAGTCGTATTTTGTGATGTTTCTTCGTACATTTCTAGCTCTTTAATTTTATCTTCTATAATAGCTGCGTTGACTCACTTTATATTTGACTGACTTTTTGATTCTCTCTCTAAGTTATTGAGGTGTCATTCCTCCTTGGTTAAGTCACCCTTTCTCACAAGATCAGTGTCTCCCCACAATACACTCTAAACAAATCAATTTAAAGCAACTGAATGCATTTTTTTATTTTTTATTTTATTTGAGAATAATGTGTATGATTCTCATTCAACTAGAATACTTAGCTTCAATAGGTTCGTCTTGGTATAAGTTAAACGGTCACTCATCCATTTTTTCTTGTCGAAGATAATGATTAAAAAAATAATTATGTTATTATTTTATATGTAATTTTTTTTTAAATACCTAACATTAAAAAATAAGAAGCGATGACGATGATGAGGAAGTTGCTTCATGAAATCCTTTTGCAGACTAGAGGAAGGTGCTTCATGAAATCCCTCACAAATCATTCCATGCAAAATAATTATGTGGTAGTAGAGAAGACTATGATAATCACTCACAAATCCATGACGATGTCAACTCTCGAAAGGACAAAAACACAATTAAGTGTTGCTCTTGTGAAAATTACAGGTATTATGTGGCAGAGTGCCACAACAAGAAGCGAGATAAGGAGGCAAACCTTACATTCATGCACGATGAAGAGCTCATACTGATGTTGGCTGAGAAGATGTCTAACCTATTGATAAATAGAAACTAACAGAGCAAACTACCCCATAATCCGAGATGTAGATGGTGTTCAAGATTTTGATGAGTTAAAGGCAATCACAGAGGCGGCTGCAAAACTTGGTTCACAATGAAAGGGACTAAAGAAAAATATAGTTTCTAAGAGAGGAGAGGAAGTGGAAGCTAAGAGTAGAGAGGAGAAGTGATGCAAGAACCGCCTGAAGTTAGATAGGTTTGAAATTGTTAGGAATCACAATCCTCCACAATGGTATGATATTGTCCACTTTGAGTAAAGCTCTCGTGACTTTGTTTTGGACTTCTCAAAAGGCCGATAGTATTCCTCACTCATAAAATCATGATCTTTTACTAAATTAACGAACGTGGGACTCACTCTCGATAATTCTCAACAAAAATAACTGGAATTCTGAGTACAAGTGGAAAATCTTAAAAATCTTTATAGACTTTGATGGATGTGCATGTTTCTTTGTGTTCTCCATATGTTGTGAAGGGTATTTTTAAGGATCTCAGCTGGGGTGCATACATAATTTACACAACATCCTTAACACTGTCGCTTTAACATACAAAATTTGCATACATAATTTTTACAACGTTTCTTCACAAGCAAAATCTATGATTAAGAGCTTTTTTATTTTTGTGAAATTTTTGGTCACAAAGCTTCAATCCTTGTGTTAGGCAGAAGAGAGATACACGATATGAACAAGACCAGATTAATACAACGCTTCATGCTAATCTTCAGCGTCTGTCTCGGTATAGCACCACATCTTGGCAAACATTAGGATGCCTAGCAATGCTACAGCAACATAGATCAGTCCGTATGTATTATTGGTATTAGTGTCTCCACAACAATATCCACCTTGAAGTTGGAAACGTCCACTTTGAAGTTGATGAGTCCTCACAATCCTTGTTTTGTTGTAGCGGCGGTTGAAGTGGTTGTTTGATGTCATCTCCTCCCATTTTTTATCATCGGACACCAACTTCATCAAGACATCAAATTCACTCTCAAACGATTGGTTATTTACTTCGGAACGCAATGGGGACCTACATATCCTTGAGGTCGCATCGTCATCTAAGCTTCCATCCTTGATTAACGAGTTAACAAACTGTGTGAGATTTTCATTTTCACCATCATCATCATCATCATAGGCATTCACAGGTTGTTGGGTACGACTCCCTAGGGGCTCACAGATCGATTGTTCGTCTCTGTTCATCTGTGTGACTTTCTTAGTCCGGGGAGAAGCAATGGCACTGTTCTGTCCATCTTCTTGGTCACAAACATGTCTCTCTTCTGCATTTTTCTTCAATCGAATAATGATGAATGGCTGCACATCATAGGAAGCACAATGCTATAACAAAAAGGTCAATTCTGAAAAATACATGAAACGCACACATACTCATGAAGGCGATGATGAAATGACCCAGAAGCCAGAAGAGGTTAGGGATACATGAGAAATGGATATAAACAGAAATGAGACCTGGGAAGTGATGTCTGTAAGTGGGTGAAGCATATACTCGTGTATCACCCAATTGGTCTTTACAGCCTTGGCTCCCTTGCCTCGATGGAACACAAAAATGTGTCTAGTTCCGATCAGTTCGTTGGTTCCACGAGCCTTGATTCGGCGGGGTTTACCGGTGGATTTCCAGCAGCCAGTAGTGGTGGTTCTTTTAGTGTTGGAGGTGTTGGCCCGAAAGAAAAACCACTCAAAATTATCAGAGGGGATAAATGATTTGTCTGCATAGGAACAGGGGAAAGGAAAGAATCAGAGGTGTGCTCCATCTTCAAAAGCTAAAATCAGGAAATTGATAAATAAATACCTGGGAGTTGCTCGGGATCGAACTTGTACAGATCAATCTCCTTGATAAATCTAACAAGATACTCCTTGCCAACATTCTTGTTCTTTAGGTAGTAGGTGATGAGCTCCTCCTCCGTGGGACGGAAACCAAAACCAGTCGGGAATGGAGAAGCAAACGGAAATTCAGCGGTGGCGGCCATGAATTTGGTAGCAAGTGCGTCGGTGATGGTGGTGGTGGATGTTTATAACTATAACAACGGACGAACGACTTGCGTTGACGGGGCGGAGTGGCGTAATTTGAGTAGCAGGGTGTCACAATAGCTTTTTCTTGGCAGTGCCCTGTAATTTGAGCACCAGGGTGTCACAATAGCTTTTTCTTGGCAGTGTCCTATCTCTAGCCTTAATCCTTCTTTTTTGTTTTAATCCTAACCTTAAAAAAACCCACGAGTCGCAGAGTATGTTCAAATCTCTAGTCTCAATCTGAGAATAAAATTTTAGATAGAGAGTCTGAAAGCAAGAATGAGTAGGAGATTGAAAATGGTGTTCATGCAAGTAAAAGGCGACAACAATTGTATATAACTTTTCCAATAGAAAGAATTTGAAAACTAGGTACATCTCTCTATATTACATTAAGAGACATTTCATGTGTGACAGACATAGACATGATTTTGTAGGAACGTCGTACATTTAGAAAAATAAAAAAAATAAAAAAAGTAAAAAAAATGTGAAAATTAGTATAAGACAAGGGTTTGAGTATGTAATAGACATGGCCACGAGGACGTTCGTACGGGATCGAGAAAAGCAGCTATGTATTCATATTCATATGTGATTGAAGCAGATGTGCAGCCTACAACTATTGCTCGTCTCTGCAAAAAACAGAACAAAGGATAGTTTGAGTCAACCACTTGCACCATTTCATGATTGTATTATTATTTTAATTCTGGCTTTTTTGCTTTCCCCAAAAGTTGATCCAAATAATGTTTGTTTCTTTCTTAGAAATAAATTGCAGACTAATTTTAAACCTAATCCACTTACAAATTCAATATTCAAACTTCACCGCCCAAAATCATCCACCAAGATTCAGTCATAAAGCTAGATTTAATTTTATTAAGAATTAAAATAACGTATCAAATAAGAACGTCATCGTTTTACCTTCGTAGAAATCGCTAGTCAATAAAATTCGTGACTGTGTACAAATTTTTTCCAACAACGCGACTCTAATATATTTATATTAGCACGTGTGATCTTCGAACAAGAGAATATCAATAGTAAATAAATTAATTACCACTTAATCTATAATCCTATTTATAGAACTTACCAAAATATATGTTATATTTAAAATTATATATTAAAAATAATTTTTTACTTAAATCTTATTTAAATAAATTATATCAGTATATATTTAACTAATTTGATTTTTGTTCAAAATTTAAATACAAGTTTTTATTCTAATATTTAATTTTTCTGTAGTTATAAATAATTTTATCAAAATATGTCTCGTAGAGACATATGAGTGCAGTATCGTATACGGTAATTTTGTATAAAACAATATTATGAAATATTTTGTATCTTATAATAAATCTATTAATTAGAAGATAAATATTTCACAAATGGATCGTATGCAGTTCAATCTTTATTCTAAGTGAGTTATCCACTTCTATCTACGAGGACTTGTCTTTTGATTTTCTCGTAAGAATGACTTTTGTGAATAATTCAATATACTTACCATTTTGGGAAGTTCTCCTCTGTTGTGCTCTCATGTCCACCAATGTTTGCCTTAATTTATATTTCTTAGTCTTCTTTTTTATTCTATTGTCAACAACGGCTGAATTAGGGTTCTTCTTCCTCGTTTTCTCTGGTTTTTATAGGAATAGAACCCTCTGTTGTTGTATTTTCCGTTCTTTTCCTGTTTGGTGGCTCTCTCATTTTAGGGAATCTTTCCCCTTTTATATTGTTTATTTCTTCCTATTTAGGGCTGATAAGAATAATTTGTCCGCTTGAGAAGTTTCTAATTAGGTATTCAATGATCCATGTGCTTGCTGATTTGGATTATAATTTCTATGTCATCCTCACAAAATTTGCATTATTTCCAAATTTGCTATAGCATCATGATTCAGCACAAATATTCTAAAATTATACTAAATAACTCAATTAAATGTATAATTAGACTCGTTTTATGTAAATTGATCCTCTTTTCATGTTGAACCATAATATATGACTATTTACGACCATTACATGTATAGCCGTTGAGTAACCTACTAGTAAACATCAGGTTCCATAGTCTAATGGTGTCTACTAAAATAATATATAGTCATTTATCATGTATAGCTATGGAGTAACCTATAAGTAAAAATTAGATTTTATAGCTTAACCATCTCTGTTTTAATAGTCTAACTGTCTCTACAAAAACAATCTACGTGATTAGACTGAAATCTTACATTAAAGTTGTTATACTCTTCTTATAAAAAAAGTGGTTATTTTTCGGTTACTCATAACTCATCATAATCAAATTTGCAAGTTCAAATGAGTACAAACATAAATTAATAAGGACTCGAACCTTTTCTCACCTTTCGTATGAACAAGCTCAAGCTAATTTCACACTGATCGAACATGAATTAAGAACGAAGTTGGAGAAGATTGAGTTCGTAAGTCTTATAAATGTCTGGTGGGCCCATTACAAATTAAGCAGATAAATTTGAGTTAGGTTCTTGACCATATACTTCGTTGTTTTTGGTTGACGAAGAATTATGCTGAATTAAACAAGTTTTGGATTGAGAGAATAAGGGACCTTCCTCATACATGGTTGGTTATGTAATGTTTTGGGGCATTACGGATGCTTCAAGGGTTTTTTAGATGGTTAATGCCTTCACGTGTTGGTCCAGATCGAGCTAGACAATTCTGATCCAAGACAGGTCATCATTTGGAAATAAAAATCGGTCCCTTACATTTTACTTGCAAATTCTATGTATGTATATCTAACCCGAATAGGAGAGTTTCTTACTAGGTATTTTCCATACTCAACCTTTTACAAAACGTAAATTACAAAAGTCTTATTTACGAACAAAGTCAAGACGAAAGTACTTCCAGTAAGAGAGAATAGAATCTTATTATTAATCATTACCCCCATACAGAAAAAAGATAGCTTTTAACACAACCGGCTTAGCTTATTAACTTGCTTCCACAGCTAACACGCGAGAACAAATAACTTATTATCAACTTAGTTAAACACCTTCCTTAATTACAGTAATACATAGTAACTTGCTATTATGAGTATCATAATTACCTGCATCATATCCATATGGGTACTAAATTTTATCACCAATTTCCATCCAGCAGCATATCTCTTGCAACTACGAAGAACAAAATAAGGCCTATACATACTCTGGCAACATAGGCGGATGCGGGGCTTGATCTGTGGTGAATGCATTTTGTAGTCAGGATACTAGAACAACGCTTTCCTCGGCTCTCAACAGACCCACGTCCAGTTGAACTGGACTGGTGGGCTACAAGACTCTTAACTTCACTTTCTCGGTCTACAACAATGTCTTTATTTGAAGTTGCAGCTGCTCCATTAACTTTCTTCCACTTTGAGACTGCTTTTGCCTGCAAATTAAACGACGCTTCATGTAAGACATGCCAAATTGAAGTCATTCAAATTGGTTTCATGAGAAGAACATTTGTGAGTATTTTTGTTCTATTCTCTCACCTTGTCGGGGGATGATACTACTTGGAGTTGAGTTTTCCTCTTCCATTGGATATTTTGTGAATCCTGTGCATGGTTTACAACCTTATCGGATCTGGGTTGGCCTTGAAATCTTAAAGTTATTGTTTCCCTATCAGGGTCATCACTGAGGTATGAAATGCCATTGGTTTGAAGTTCATCTCCACGAGGCCGGACAGAGGACAGATCTTCTTCCCCTCCATACTTGAAAATCTTTGAAGTAAGTGGGCTTCTACGCGATTCTTTAAGGATCGGCGTAGTTTGAGTTGGTACCCTTGAACTATGTTCATCGAACATACTGTGAGAAGTAGAACGACCCTGCAATGCACAATGAAATACAGACTATTTAGCTCTATTATAATAATAAGATCTACGAGAAGCCTAAATCAAGTCCACCCCTAGTAAATATTGTCCTCTTTGAACTCTTCCTTTTGGGTATACCCTCAATATTTTTAAAATGCGTCTGCTACGAAAAGGTTTCTACACTCTTATAAACAATATTTTATTCTCCTCCTCAATCAACCGAGGTAGGATCTCACAGTTTCTAACCCAACATAAATCAGAAATGGAATCACAGTGAAAAAGCATGGTTTAAGAAAGCTCGAATCAATTTCTTCAGTTAAGGATTTCCACCAAGATATTTGTGTACACTTAAAAGATTTATGACATACTTTTACCTGCATATTTAAAATTGCATACATGCCAGTGTCACCGTTGAGTGCACCACCCTGGTCTTCTTCAACCATTTCGAGATATTCCTTCCAGTTGAAATCACTGATTGAACTATTTGGTGTCCCTTCATGGAAATAAATCTCCTCAATATCAATGGCCTCATCATTAGGTTCATTGACCTGAGTCACGTGGCTGTTGTTAGCTTGGAAATCCATTGAGATGGGTTCCCGGTCAGAAAACAAAAGGGACTCCAATTCGGAGAAATCGTAACCCAAAACCTGGAGATTCGGTGGAAACAATGATTGTCAAATTCCTGGAATCTGAACATATAAATGCTAAGATTATTAAAACAAATCATGCTGCAGTAGGCACTAGGCAACGTCCAGGGATTGATCTTTCTAAATTCAAACCTCTTTATTTTGGTTCACTGAGACTTCATTATCGAACGTCAAATTCATAGGACCATTTTGTTCAGCTTCATCACATACCAAAACATCATTCTCATCCAGCTTTTTCTTTAGGAGACAAATAACAAACGGCCTCTGCATGAACAAGAGGACAAGAGGGAGAGTTAAACTAAGCATCATCAACAAACTAGACCACCATACACTCTAATGCAGACGGTTAGAAATCACGATCCTTCACAATGCTATGATATTGTCAACTTTGAGCATAAGCTCTCATGGCTTTGCTTTTGGTTTCCCCAAAAGGCCTCGTACCAATCTGGTATGTATTCCTTACTTATAAACCCATGATCAACCTCTTAATTAGCCGATGTGGGACTCTTTTCCCAACAATCCTCCCCACAAACAAAGTACACTATAGAGCCTCCCCCAAGGCCTATGGAGCCCTCGAACAGCCTCTTCTTGATTGAGACTCTACTCCTTTGGAGCCCTCGAACAAATTACATCATTTGTTCGACACTTGAGTTAAGTTAAGGGCATGACTCTAATACCATGTTAGGAACCACGGACCTCCACAATGGTACGATAATGTCCACTTTGAGCATAAGCTCTCGTGTCTTTGCTTTTGGTTTTCCCAAAAGGTCTCATACCAATGAAGATGTATTCCTTACTTATAAACCAATGATCAACCCCTTAATTAGTCGATGAGAGACTCCTCTCCCAACCATCCTCAACACAAACGGTTAAATTCGAGGATATTTGCCGCATATTTTCTAATCAATGTCAAGCTTAGTACATATCAAGATTCAAAGTTCAAAATCACATGAGAGACAGCATGAGAGGACATAAGCAGAAGCACAAAAGAAAGGAAATTAGAGTAGAGAGACGCAAAGAAAAAATGTATAGGGGACAAAGAATGAGGGAAATCACCAGATGCGCAAACTGGGGATCGGAATGAAGTTGATACTCGTGTATGACCCAATTGGTCCTGATTCCATTTGAAACCCGGCCACGGTAGAAGACCAGAGTTTTTTTGGTACCAATCAACTTCTTGGTTCGCGGATCCAAGATTTTGCGGTCCTTGCCCGTGGATTTCCAGTAGCCGGTTTTCGTGGCCCTATTGGATCGACGGCTATTGGAATACTTCAAATCTTGGGCAGCAAAGAAAAACCATTCCTGCTCACTTGTATGGTCGTTTGAAAGGCCTACGAAGAGATACAGAACGTTAGAGAAAGTAGAGCCGGACAAATGCAAATGCGAAGGCATGAAATGAAAAAAATGTGATCGCGAAAAAGAGGGATAAACATTAAACGTACAAGGAAGATCCCATGGCTCATACTTGCAGATATCAACTTGACGGATGTAATCAACGAGGGATTCCCTTCCAAGCATCTTGTTCTTCAGGTAGTGATTAATTAGCTCCTCATCCGTCGGATGGAAGCGGAATCCGACCGGCAATAAATACCCAGAAGGAAGCACGATGCAATCGGCCATCTAGTTTGCGACCACTACAAGATTCGTGGCGTATGTTTATGGGAAGAAGAAGAAGAAGAAGGGAGCAGGGGAGCGAAGAGAAATGGGGGAGGAGGAAGGAATTAAGTAGAGGGGTTTCCATTGACTCTGAATCGGAGTCTGCCAGTGAGAGTGAAGGTCTTCAACTTCGTAAAGAAGCTAATGACTAGAAAGCGAATATGAAAAGTAAGGGTTGCTATTGGTGACTGTCAAATCAACCCGCACCACTCCGAAGCTTCAAGCGCCAACACCTCACTCATTATCTAAATTATTATCATTTACCAAAAGTTATAGGAAGCTTCGTGTCACAATCGCACTTTGATGCCAGCGGTCTTGTGATTCTACGGTATTCACTTTTCAGCAACAAGTGAGTTAAACTTATTTGTTCTTGCGTTGCCTACAGTCAAGCTGGTGTATGCTTGAGCCTCTGACCCTAGTTCGAGAAGAAAGTATTAAAAAATGGGAGTAAAGAAATTTCAAAAGAGAGTTTTGAAAGCAAGATTTGAGAAATAGAAATTGATGTTATATGGGAATGTAAGCAAAATGCAAAAACTATCAGAGAGGGAGAAATTGACAACTAGTCATATCCCCTGTACTACATTTTGAGGCATTTCATGTCTGTCAAGCCTATACATGATTTTTTCGAAATGTCATACTCCTTAGAAATACAAAAGTAAAACTCTATCACATAGAGAGACATAAAGGGTTTGGCTTATCATGGGCATGCGGCTATGGACAACACGCTTTGGACGAACATGACCGTGAAACTGAGCTCATAGACATTTGCACTACTTTTTAACCCTTCTAGCCAAATTTTGGATGTAATCGACCAAAGTTCTAAACCACACCCATTGTTTGGAGTAACATTGAATTGAAAACAAGGCAAGGCCACAAAGTCAGCACAAAAGTAAGATCACAATGTTGTTAGATCAAAACCGACTCGAGCTTAGTCAAGGGCAAGTGGGGCATGCTCAATGATACCCATTGTGCCCAAAGCCTCAATAGGTCGCACAGCCTGATCCAAATTGACTAGATTGATCCTAACTCGTCACAATATCAACACCTCTTGGAAACCCTAATTTGTCTCGGACACGCCTTCCAAAAACCTTAATCCATTCCTTAAAAAAAAAAAAAAAAAAAAAAAAAAA